AGGGGAGGGGAGAGGAGGGAATGGAAGGGAAGGGAAGAGGAAAGAAAAGAGAAGAGCTAGGCTGGGAGCAGTGGCTCTGGCCTTTAATTTCAGGGCTTTGGGAGGCCAAGGTGGGAGGATCATTTGAGGCTAGGAGTTTAAGACAACTAGGGCAGCATAGTGAAACCCCATCTCTACACACACAAAAAAATTAGTCTGGCATGGTGGCACAACAATCATCCCAGGAGTTCAAGGTTACAGTGAGCTAGGATCATGCCCCTGCACTCCAGCAAGACCCTGTGTCGAAAAAACAAAACAAAACAAAAAATAAAACTAATACATTATGGGAAGAAATGTTAAGGCATAAAGTAGTTATGCTTTTCACATTAATCAGTTTGCCTTTGTGTATCTAGATGCTCTCTCATGGTTTGATTTTAAAGAAAGATAAAATGTTGTACATCTTTTATGTGCTGGATTCTCTTAAGCGTAACCTCATTTAAGTCTCACAAAAAGTCTGGAAGACAAAGATCGTCCTCTCTATTTTATGACTGAAGTTAATTTGGGCTCAGAGAAGTCAAGTACAAATACAGATGACAGAAGCAGTAAGAGTAAAGATAACTTTTGAAATCTGATTTCTCTGGCTCCAATTCAATGCCTTTTATTTACAAGGCTAACCTACCTCAATAGCCTAAATAAATTTGTAAGTTAAACCAACTTACAAAAACTAGAGTTTCTGAGCTCTTAATAAATGTAAGATTAGATAATTTGATTATTACTAATCCATCTGAAAAGTAAATCTTAATATAATGAGCTTTTAAAAATTGCCAGTGGTAGTTAGAAAAGCAAAAAATAAACAGTTCCCAGAAGATACAGTACAATAAGCATACACACACAACTTTCGTGTATGTCTGTGTGTGGTAAGAACACTTAACATTCTCTCTGCATTTTTCAGAAATGTATCGTGATTAACTACAGTCATCATGCTATATAATAGATCTCTTGAGCTTATTCCTATCTAACTGTAATTAGTATATTCTTTGACCAATATCTCATAGCCCCCTCTACCCACTTAATCCTATAGCCTCTAGTAACCACCACTCTACTCTACTTCTGTGAGGTCAACTTTTTTAGATTCCACATATGAGTGAGATCATGTGGTATTTGTCTTTCTGTGCCTGGCTTATCTGACATAATGTTCTCCAGGTTCATCCATGTTGTCACAGATGACAAGATTTTGTTCCTTTTTATTAAATGTACATTTTATATATATTTAAAACATGAATTTGGTAAACAAAAAAATGATAAAAGCAAGTATGCATTAATTTTGCCTTTAACCTTGGCAACTTATATTTATGCTAGCAGAATGCTATGACACAGATGCTTCTATAATTGTTCATTGGCATTACAGTGGACATAAAACTGATATGTGCTCACTTACAATTCTTGCAATTCAGTTGGCCGAATGCATTTTTCTTTCCTTTATTTTTTAAGGGTTTCTTTCTTTAAATAGAAAACCTGTTCATGTGGAATTTCCATTTCTAGCCCAACAGAAATAGAATTGGAAGTCATATCAAAATTTTATGGAGAATGTTATATATCCTTACACTATTTATAAGGTTGAAAGAACAGAAACAATTGAACAACAAAGGGGAAATTGTTGAATAAAATATGGCACTTTCATATGTTACTTATTACAGCCATTAAAATTAATTTCTCAAATAATTATTAGTTAT